GTCGCCGCCACGGCAGCCGAGGGGATGTTGCAGACGGCGATCCCTGGGGAGACAAGGCACGGCCGGGGCTCAGGGGGGGAAGCAGAGCACAGGGGCTGCTGCCTTCTGTCTCAGCTGCCCCCTCCCCACCTACTTCTCATCCTTAAGCTCTGGGGCAGAGTTTTCTGAGGACACGTGTGGTTTAGGCACAGCAGCCTGAGATCTCTGCAAAAGCCACCACGTGAAGCTGTGGTGATGGTTGCTCAGGGGTTCCCTACGTGGTGATTTTCCCCCTCTACTCCTGTGAGACCCTACCTGGAGTATGGTGGCCAGTTCTGGAACCCTCAACACAGGAAGGACATGGACCTCTTGAAGCGAGTCCAGAGGAGGCCACAAAGATGCTCAGAGGGCTGGAGCAGCTCTGCTCTGGGGACAGGCCGTGAGAGCTGGGGTGTTCAGCCTGGAGAAGAGAAGGCTCCAGGGAGACCTTAGAGCACCTTCCAGTGCCTGAAGGGGCTCCAGAAAAGCTGGGGAGGGGCTTTGGACAAGGGCAGGGAGTGACAGAACAAAGGATGATGGTTTTAAGCTGAAAGAAGGGAGATTTAGCTGAGATCGTAGGAAGAATATCTTTGCTGTGAGGGAGGTGAGACCCTGGCCCAGGTTGCCCAGGGAAGCTGCGGCTGCCCCATCCCTGGCAGTGTTGAAGGGCAGGTTGGATGGGGCTTGGAGCAGCCTGGGCTGGTGGGAGGTGTCCCTGCCCATGCAGGGGGGTTGGAACTGGATGAGCTTTAAGATCCCTTCCAACCCAAACCAGTCTGGGATTCTGTGATTCTCTGAAGCAAGGACAAGTGGAGATTTTGAGTGCGATAGCTACGTGGGAGTAACTCCAGGAGCAAAAGTTTATTTTGCAATAGAAAATCTTATTCTTACTCAGCTTCATCTACCTTCAAAGAGAATTAAACTGTGCTAGCACAAGTCACTCCTTTCCCACAATAAGACTGTTCAGCCACTGAATTATTTCAGGACAAGTAATCTGGTGCACTCGAGTAGGATGGTGCAGCACCAGGTCAGCATGGCAGGGCCAGCTGCCCCCTTCCCCCAACCAAACCAGTCAAGACCCACACTGGAGCATCTTTCCCACCCCATCACTGGCCTGCCTGCCCCAGTGTGGGTTTTCATGACAGATCTTTTGTTCCTTTCCCACAAAAGGTTAATTTTAACCTGCCATGTACTCGCTTGGAACTGCAGGTATGAAGAAGCTGACAGAAAATGCCTCCCCAGCCCCAGTCTCTTGCCAATCTCCTTGCTCCTAGGAATCTGTTTTTTGTTGTTTTTAAAACTGTTTTCTACCCTATGGCTGTTTGAAAGACCTACAGAAACTGGGAGAAAACTGACCCCACAGGTAGAAAAAAAGCCATGGCCACCCAAGCCCTGAAGACACCGCCCAGCTCCTCTCCCTTTCAGGTGATGGGAACACAATGCTCTGGTCCCACCAGCTCCTAAAGCTGATGCTATCTCACTTTACTTTCCCCATCTCTCCCACAGAGGGACCTTCTGATGTCCCTCAGGCCCAGAAACCACGGTGACCACCTGCTGAAGCCCCTAACCAAGTGGGAGGGAGAGATTCCTGAGAAGACCACACGTGTAAATATCAGACAAGTAAATTAAGCCCCCATGGTGGGTGGTTTAACACCAGCATGTTGTTCTGGGTGTGTCTTCTACTGGGTCAAAACTGGTCCCACCAGCCCCAGAAAGGCAGCTTGATAGTGTGTGGCCAAGCAGAGTGTTTAGACACTGGTCATTTATTGACTGCACAGTTTAAAATCTACCTTATGGGAAACAATACCAATTAAACTTTACGCTACATTTGTGGGTAGTCATTACATTTTCTACTCAAAACCACATCATTTGGCCACCCAATTTGCCAAGCATAAAAAGAAGGATTATACTGCAGTATCCCATTACTTTACTCATGATATTTTCCTTTCCTGATGTTGAAAGCCTCAAGAACATTGTTATAATGGATAATAACAATAAGAGTTAAAAACATGAAGAAACCATTACATTGAGAAGACACTGTTCTCCTCTCGGAAAAATAAATAATAAAATAATTCACTATATTGAGAATTGCTTTTTTAGGAATGACTGTTTGAAACTCTCATTGCAATTACCCCGTAAAATGGCTCATGTGAAATGGCTGTTATTCCTCACTTCCCCAGAGATAACCTTTAATACAAGACATCCTAAGCACTACTGCAGGACTGCCTGATAGACTGAATCTTGGGATCAGACCATCAAACCAGCTGCTAAAACCACAGATACAATTAAACTCTCTCTGCTGGGGATATGCAAGGAGCCAAAGGTCTCTGTGACCATCCAAACCCATGAGGAAACCTGGGGGCCCCAGCACTGTCTGACAGCACACACCCCTTGAACCTGGGCATGCAAAAATTCCCACAGCTGGACACAAGGGCTCCTTCCTGACAAGGTGACCCTCTGCATTTTCACAGTCTATACCACATGTCCCCACCATAAATCTGTTTTCCAAGTTCCTGAGGCACCTCTGATGAGATGGCAAAGGAGGCAGCAACAACCCAACGCACAATTCCTGCTCCACCATCTGACACATCACCTTCCCAGTGGTGTGGGCACGACTCAGAAACAGATCAGATCAAGAGACCAATCTTGCTTAACAAAATACAGTAAAACACCCTTCCTCCCATTTTATAAAGCTAGATCAGCTCTCCCGTGCCAGAAACAGAACAGCCAAACACCCGCCAGTCCAACAGCTCCCTGGAGTAGGGACAGTGTAGGCATGAAAGACTCTGATGGGACAGCTCTAATACCACGTGAGACTGAAAGCTGCCTTCTAAAACTGCACCATTTTGTTTAGGTCATGGTCAGGTTTTCTGGTCATCATAATCTCTACATGCAAACAAATGAGAACTGTAATTTCAGGGGCTGAATCAACCGTACAAACACTCGCCAGTCCAACAGCTCCCTGGAGTAGGGACAGTGTAGGCATGAAAGACTCTGATGGGACAGCTCTAATACCACGTGAGACTGAAAGCTGCCTTCTAAAACTGCACCATTTTGTTTAGGTCATGGTCAGGTTTTCTGGTCATCATAATCTCTACATGCAAACAAATGAGAACTGTAATTTCAGGGGCTGAATCAACCCCCTTTGGGAGGTCCTGCCTACAACTCCCCTTTGCCAGCACGCTCCCCTGGGAAGCAGCAGGTACTGGTACTGATTTTAAGGACTCGGAGGGATGTGGGAGGGACCCTGGGGTGCAGAGCTGAGACTCACCAAGCTCCCCTGCAGCTTTGATGTCGATGTTGTCGTAGCCGCTGCCTATCCGAACAATGACCCGCAAGGCCTTGAACTTCTCTAGATCTTCTCGAGTCAGTGTGATGGTGTGGTACATCATGGCCCCCACAGCTTCATTTAATACCTGGGACAGAGCAGAGATGTCAGGAGCCACCAGGACACCTGGAAGGGATGCCTGCAGCTCCTGGATCAGGAACACTACGCAGTAAATTGTACATTTTAACTGCCGACCTACTCTCTGACCCAGGCACAGTGCAACTCAACACTTCCAGGTGTCACCCAAACCATCAGGGGTGTGACCCACCAGCACTGAGGCCATTCCCTTTGGGAAAAAACTGGATGGGTATCTGAAAATTACAGTACGTCTGGGGAGAGAAGGCAGAGGAAAACAGCCTGTCACTCAGCCAGACCCTTTTCCAGGTGGTTATCTGCTAATCCCTCTGCTTCCAACCAGCAGTAATTCTGCTTTTAAAAAGGAATTAGGTTTTACAGCAGCATCTATTGTTTTTGAACACAACAGCGTGTCACTCATAACTCCTCGACATTTTTCGTACATTGGAAGTACAAATACCTGTCAAACTGTTCACATTAACCTTTCCTGGATGTTTTCAAGAGCACCTAAAAAGATTTGTGTGAGGCTGTACAGACTTGTATGTCTCCATCCCCTTCAGCAGAGGTTCAAACCTCCATTGGTGCCCACCATAAGCTATCTCAGGGCTCTGGAAACCCAAGACCTACCCAAATTCTCCAAGACTGGCTCATCTATCATCTATCAATGTGTCTTAAAAAACTCCGTCCTCCTTCCCCTGCCTTCAATATTTGAAGTGCTGCAAAGATCAGCACTGATGGTTTTTGTAAGTTCTCTTTCCCAGATCTGGAAGTGATTTCTGATCCCTCCAAACCTCCTCCGAGTTATCTGAATGCACAGAAAGAATTATTTTAAAAGAAGTATTTAGAACTGGTTGATCTTCCAAGCAGAAACACCCATCCCCACTGCCCAGCAATGCCTGCACACTGCCCAAACCTCTCCCACTCCCTGCTGGGGAGAAATGAGCTGCTGAGGTGCAGCCAAACCCGAGGAGATCTATCAGCTGCAGCATGGGATGGTGGCAGCAAATCCAGAGCAACCTGGCACCCTGGGGAGGTGCAGAATGCTGGAACTGCTGCAATCAGCAAGCAGACTTCAAAAAAATGAGGCATGTTCCTAATATTGATGTAAGAAACTGATGCTAAGAGATAAGGTGACCTTTTTTTTTTCAAAATAACATCCAGCATTTACAATATCCTTGCAGAGTTTTAATCTGCAGTGACTTCTGCTGATGTTATCTGTGTCCAACTCCAAGTGCAGCTTTTGCACACTTCTTGCTCAAAAACAATTGGCAGAGGGAGGCCAGATCCCACCACCCCCCAGCCCGGTCCACCCTGGCAGCTCCCGTTACCTTCTCGTGAATCTCCTGAGTTGATTGTGCGTCACAGAATGCAACCGTGGCCAGGTCCTTCAGAATGGGCATCTCCACCGTGCAGTCCCTCCCGTCCAGCAGTGCCACCAGGGGCCGGGGGTGCATGGGGCCATTCATGATTTGAGGGCGAATACCTGCAAGCAGAAGGAGGGAAGTTTTTACACTGATGGCAGCAGGAAGGTCCCCCTGGCAGCGGCAGTTCCTGCACCGGGTTCCTGTGCCGGGTGAGGGAGAGTGGCACATGGTTTGCACAAGTGAGTGGTGTTGGTGATGGTCGGACTTGATGACCTCAGAGGTCTTTTCCAACCTTAATGATTCTAGGAAAACTGGGGGGACAATGGCAATGCAATGCCACTGCAGGTCCAGGTTTCCTTCTGGGAGCACGGCTGTGGTTCTTCCCCAGCTGGAGAGAAAACGCAGCACGGCTTCCTCCCAGGACAGGCATGGACAACCCTATTCCAGCCACAGGTGACTTCATGGGATGTATCTCCACTTTGCTGATCCTCACTACCACAGGCCACATTCCAAGCAAGCAATGTAAGGCAGAGCTTCTGGCCTCTGCAGCCGTTTTACTGAGCACCTTAGGAGTGAAACCCAAGCCACAGTAATTTTTTCCCCTGCCTGCAGGGGCTGGGATTTCATGCCATGGATGTATGCTGGCACTGTCTGGTTTTTTAAGGAATAACTTTATCATCCTGGCTGGCTCAAAAAGGACTGTCCAAACACACATCCAGTAAAAAAAGCCAAGGATTACAGGAAAATCAGAGGAAGAACAAGACCTTGAAGACCTCCAACATGCAGGCTGTTATGTTACCAACCTCCAAAGGCTTCAGAGGTGGGAATGGCAAAGCTCTGCTTCCTTTGTAAAACCAAACCTGGTCTATTCCTGCATCCCTCAGGATGCTCTGGGATGTGCAGCTGGAGCCAGCATGAGGGACCTGCCCACAGGTTCCACCCAGCTCTTCTCACACTTACACCTTCCCATGGGATGCTCCCTTGAAACTGTACTCATGGGTCTGTTCAGCTGTGCTGCTTTTTTCTTCCTTTCACATTTTCTCCAGGCAGAGGTGAAGAAAGGAATGATCACCACCAAGGGCTGCTGAAGGCCAGTTTTTATATCCTATTTATTGGTCTGCTGGGTATTAACTGGTTCGTTTTTTGACAAGTCACTAAGAAATTTCTACACCTTTACCACTCAGTAAGGGATTTTATTACATTAGGACTGTATAAATATCTTTTTTAGCTACCCAGGTGTTTCTGGGAAAAGCACAGGTGGGAGGAGAGGATGCTCAGGGGACACAGGGGTGTTTTATTTCTGCTGCTGCAGCATGAGATGGCCAGGCCTGGAGGGTTTGAGTTTGAACCTTCAAACCCCCTCACACTAGCCCCAGCAAAGCCCCTATTCTTACCAAAACCCTTCTGCACAAGGACCTCCCAGGGATACCAGACACAGTCACACCTTCCCTAGGCTGCATCAGTGTCCTCCCCTGCTGCTCTGCACCGCAGGCATCACTACTCACAGTACAACTGGTGAGCTGGACAAGCCTGGCTGAGGGAACTGGGTATTTAGCGGGGTCAAACGTCTCACATGGAATCCTACAGAACAAATACTGCTGTCTGTGGCACTGCTGGAGTAAGTGGGACTACAGCCAAGAGCAGGATGCTGCTTTGCTGGCCCTTGCATGCAAGGTTGGGGATTGCTCCAGCCCTCTGGACTGCAGTCAACACGTGGGGTAGTGTCACTGCAGCCCCACGTGCCAGAAAAATGACAACGAGGGAAAGAAACTAATGAGAAGAGCAACATACTGATTTCTTTTTCTTCTCCTTTATTTTTTTTTTCCCTTTCCCTTTAAAGGCAAAATTGAATCTGCCCTTTTGTCCACATTGCTGTTGGGTAAAGTATTAGCAAGATCTCCAGCAGCTGATGTGTATGTGACAGGCGTGGGTGCTGTGGGCCCAAGCAATGCCTCCCTGATGGCCTCACCATGGGGAGGGATCTACACTGTGTAGTGAACATGGGATAGCACATAGTTCCAATTATTTTTTTATGGGAAAAATTCACCCCATGGAAACAAGCAGAGGGGGTTTAACAGCTCTGAATTCGCCTTAAGAAATTAAGAAGCAACCAACCCAGCAGAAGAATTTCAGCATTAGGCATGAAGAATTTTGAGCTACGTCCTTTCCTCTGTCTTTCCTAACAAGATCTCCATCAGCACGTACTGGAAGCAAGACACGATGCTTGCGTGCATTTCCTCCAGATGGAAGTGCAACTGTGTCAGTAGGCAGGGCAGAGGGCTGAGACGATCTGATAGCCCAAAGAAGCTTGCCATAAGCAGATCAGCAAGAATAAAAACATGGACAAATCTCGGAGCGCTCACACCACTCTTACACGAAGCACTACAGCCCAGCTAGATTATTTTCTCAGGTTAACAAGAGAGTGAATTATAACACTGACTTAAACGCTTACTAACATATATGATCCAAGGCTTAGAGCATCACCTCTCAGCCTCACAACTGTAAATGAAGAGGCACTGGATGCAGGGGCGAGGTGTGGTGGTTCCAGCCCCAGTGGCCACTGTCCCCATGCTGTGCAGCCATTCACCTCTATTTGGGCAAGCCAAGAGCAGAGCCTGGTGCCCACCAGGGACCTGGACCATCCTCAGGAAGGGCAGAGGGCTCATGGAGGCTGGTGGTGGCTCCCTACAAGTACAGCCCGTGGAACACAAAACCAGGGGTTATCTGAAACCTCAACATTTAATCCGAGCCCCAAAATAACGGGTTTATTATGCTGCCATTACATAAGCTTCTTTGAAAGTCAAACAAAACACAGCCTGCTTTTTTTTTTTTGCTTTTTTTTTTTTTTTTTTTTCAAACAGCATCTGTGTCTTTGCTGAGATTAGGGATGTAATTGTGCATGATGACACAGGCTTCTCAGGCATGTCACCCTCACCCGCACACAACAGTGTGGTCGCTGAGGGTGAATGCTGGCTGGGAACTGGGAGGTATTCAGAGGAATGTCTCTTGTTTCTCCTGCTTCAAGGAGGGAATTTCCTTCAGGCCAACAAGGAAAGTTTTGAAGCAAATCGATACGAGACGAAGCGCATCATGTATGGAAATTACATTTTCATAAAAACCACTGGCAGTTTTGCAACTTAAACCACAGTGTGTTTTCCTTGCCTGCCTCTCTTGCTGCCTTCCCACCAGCCTGGGTCTGTTCTTCACGACCCTGGTTCCTGCCTCCCACACCAACACATTCAAACCAAAACATCTGAGCTGACAAATCCAAGAGAAAAACTCGCTACCCTTTTCTTTCTACCCGAGCACGTTTGCTCTGCATGCGACTGCTTCATTAAGAAGGAGGTATGCCATGGATCAGAAAGTAATTAAAGAGCCAGACACTCCCCCCTTCTACCCCTAAATTCTGATACAACATCGCAGCCATTAACCCTTTCACTCTGCCCCACGCTGCAAAATCCACCAGGCTCGGTGCTCACTGATGGGCAGGGCGCTGTGCATCCCAACGTTGCCTCCCCGAGTGGTGGTACAGGCAGAACCAGCTTTCCTTGGGGCTGGGGTGGGCTCAGCTCTTCCTCCCAACAGCCTCACCAATTTCAGTGGCTCCCCACTCCCCCAGATCTCAAGCTGAATTTGCCAATACAGCCCTTCCTGCAAAGTTGTGGCGAGTGTTATTCCATATGTGTGGGTTTTTTTAGGTGTTTTCAGTTGCCCCGCAGACCCTCGCCAGCACTGCAGGGAGAGGCTGGTAAGGCAGAGGGAGAGGAAGGAGGGTTTATGGAAAGAAGGGGGGGGGGGGGGGAAAAAAAAAGCACAGGAAAGAAAAAAAAGAAAGGCTTTGCAGTCACAGTGAGAACTCCAAACTCCACCCCGGCTCACAGACAGCACCGCTTGTTGCACGCAGCCCCGCGTATAAAGTGCTTTTGTTTCATTTTTAATACACAAAGCCTGCTTGTCCTCTCCTGCTGCTCCTCCCCTTTGCCACCCACTTGTATCCGATCCCAATGGCACCCCTGCCAAGAGAATTAGGGAGTGCTCCCTGCTAAATGGCAGCCTTTGTGTGACCGCAAGACGGCTGGTACTATCTCACAGAAACAAAAGCAGAAGCCATTTGCCTAATTCTTATTAATCTCAGTTGCCTACACCACGCAGCATTTAAAAAAAAAAGAAAGGGAGAAAAGGGAAAAAAAAAAAAAAGGCAAAAGGCTTTAAACATGTTCACTTGCAGTATATAAAAGTGCATCAAGAAGCCATCCTGACACTCGCCTGAATTACTCGTTCACAACAAAGTAGCTACAGTTTTACAGTCAACTACACACTTTATTAAACAAACAGAAAAGAAACAGGAAATTTCCCCTTGCCTGGAAAATGTTGCCTCCACATTCTTCTTCTTATTAAAAACCACACATGGCAGTGGAGGAGGAGGGAGGGAGGAGGAAGGGGGGGAACCCACACACGAGAAAATACTACCACTTTGCAGTTGCGTTGCCTCTCCTTTCGTCTACGAGGGGGTATCTTCAAACAAGCAATCCTGCGGCCCACAGCTGCAACATCTCAAGACAAATGTCTCTTTGAACACGGAGGGAAAAGAAAAGGCTTTTGTCCTGAGCCACAGAAGAATGGTCTGAAATTGCGAGAGGAGTTACAGTCACCTCTGCGCGGCTCTCAACTCTTCAGAGCACTCCCTCCAGACTTTGCCGAAGCTTTTAACTAATCGTAGTTCTTTCCCAGCCCTTGAATAAAAATCATGTGAGTGCCAGCCAAAAAATCTTATGCTATGCACACTAAAGGGTTTGTATATGTCACAGTTGCCTTTTCCCCCTTCCACTCCCCTCCTCCTATTGACTTGCACATACGGCGTGGGTTTTTTTCTGAGTTGTCTCAAATGGATTTAATCTGTGCCACGCTGCGTTTTATGTTTGTTTGGGTTTTTTTTTGTGTCTGTGTGTTCGGTTGGCTTTTTTTTCATCTTAAAAAAATTTAAAAAAAGAAACATGCTTTTTTCCATGCAGAGTATATTGAATGAGGCTCCCAGAACCAGGCTTGATAGCCTTTAGCAGCAGCAGGAAAACCAACACAAAGCAGGGGGAGAAAGCACGGCTGCGCTGATCTCATCCAG